TTTTTTTTTTTTTTTGTGTCTGTTACCACTTTTTCTCAGCTCTCACCGAACGGATTTCTTTCAACGATACGTTAATTTAAAATTCGCTAATTTTCGAAATTTTTTCAATTTTTTTTACTAAAAACTGCCGTAACTTTTTCAAAAATGAACATATAAATATAATTTTGTTTTTTATAGATGCTTGATGTCTATACTTATCATTTGGTATATTTTTTTTGTAAAGTTGACACTTAACCTGCCCAAAGGGAGGGATATAATATGACAACTTTTTTACAAAAAATTAACTTTTTCAACTTAACTTTTGAAAATTTTCCGGAAGATCTGACACTTTTATATATATCTTAAAATAAAGCTAATGTAAAATACTTTATTATGCAAACAAAAAAAATTAAACCTCTAGACTTGTCTTCATGGTGAAAACGGCTACCGAATGCTATTTTTGTGTGAAAATTCTCGATTTTATAATTTACATTTTTTACTTTAAAGTGCTATAAATTTTTAAAAAATGTATGGATCAATACAATTTTTTCATGAAAAGTATTATTTATATACATCTTTCATTGGACATACTGTTTTTTTAAATCGGACGATTTCCCTATAAACGAGGGGGCTTCAAATCTAAAAAATGCATATAGAAAATAGAACTTTTTCAACTTAAATTTTGAAAGTGTTCCGGAAAGTCTGACACTTTTATATATATCTTAAATTAAAGCTAATGTAATATACTTTATTATAGTAAAAAAAAATTTCGGACTTTATTTTATCTACATGGTGAAAACAGACATCAAAGTTTATAAAAAAACCCAGCACAGGGGGGTCGCGGCACAGTGGTGTCGTGGTATAGTTGGATCAAGTATAATGATATCTGACAGTGATTAAAATCACTATCAAAAAAAACACTTCAATGCAAATCTTTAGATAGTGTTAAATTTTAAAAAAATTGGTGTTTTATTCCAAAAGATCTGCTGGTTCCTTATTAATATCTCGATTAAGATAAAGTATGTCAAACGAAAAAGGGTTTATTAAAAAATATTATTTCTCAGAAAAAAATTGTGTGGATCCATACACTTTTCAATAAGTTATAGCATTATAAAGTCAAAAATGTAAAAATAAAATCGAGAATTTTCACACGAAAATAGCATTCGGTAGCGATTTTCGCCGTGAAGACAAGACCAGAGGTCAAAATTTTTTTTTTTAATTAAAGTATATTACATTAGCTTTAATTTAAGATATATATAAAAGTATCAGACCTTCCGGAACACTTTCAAATGTTAAGTTGAAAAAGTTAATTTATTGAAAAAGTGGTAACAGACACAAAAAAAAAAAAACACACATCTTAGTAAAACCAATATCTTCTCAGTTTCGCATCGAAGCTAAAAATGTATGTATCAATACAATTTTTTCATGAGAAGTAGTATTTATATACATCTTTCATCGACATATTTTCTTTTTAAATCAGACTATTTCTTTATATATGGGGCGGGGTGTACAAATCTGAAAAATGCATATAGAAAGTAGAACTTTTTCAACTTAATTTTTGAAAGTGTTCCGGAAGGTCTGACACTTTTATATATATACTTTAAATTAAAGGTAATGTAATGTACTTTATTATTAAAAAAAAAAAATTTCGGACTTTATTTTGTCTTCACGTTGAAAATGGCTACCGAATGCTATTTTTGTGTTAAAATTTTCTATTTTCTATTTTACATTTTAGTTGTATGGATTAACACAACTTTTTATGGGAAATAATATTTTTTTAATAATCCCTTTTTCATTCGACATACTTTATCTTAATCAGGATATTAATAAGGAAATAGCAGATCATGTAGCTTTTGGAATAATCCACCAATTTTAAAAGTAAATACTATCTAAAGATTTGCATCGAAGCGTTTTTTTTTTATAGTGATTTTAGTCACAGTCAGATATCATTATACTTGATCCAACTATGCCACGTCACCACTGTGCCGCGACCCCCCTGTGCTAGGTTTTTAAATATTAATCATCAAAACAAAAATCAATCTGTGAAAAATAAAAGAATACAAAATGTTGCTTACAGAGCAATAAGATTATAAAAGTAAAACTTTTTAGTTTTTAATATTATTGATTTTAATAGATAGAACTTTAAAATAAAAAATTAAATAAATATTGCATTTGTAACATAGTAACTTTGGATGTAATAATATGAACATTTTAAGTCAAGTACTAAATTAATTACATAATGAATTATTTATGTAGAAAAGTAGGGGTTAATCCGGTAATATGTGTCCTGTGTATTTTTCCTAATACGACAACCTCATAATATTATGTTTGTTAAAAAAAATATAAACCACAGAAATTAAAAACTCTCTATAAAAAATGTAGCATAACATGACAATAGTACAATAGTTATTATAAATAATAATTTCCTAAATTGATTAATTTTATAATGGTGTATTTAAACTCGCGTGTGTGGAACACAATAAGCTTTAACACTTTTAATAATAGTAGGTGGCGTCGAGCAGTTTATTTAACGATGTTAATAACAAAAAAAAGAAAAATTTGCAATGGAACAATGTATCCGTTAACCTTTAAAACTGCGAGAACGTGAAGACTTGTGGCGTACACAAAAAAGAAACGTAGGTAGTTGTTCGCAAGCGGACGACGAATCATATTGTATCATAGAGATGACCATAGTAAAATGAATATAAAGGCATATCATGCGCACTAATTTGATGGAGTAAACTTCTTATTCATTTTACTATGGAGATGACTGACTACACATATTATTGCAGTGGGTATTCGACACTAGGCATTTATTGGACTTTACACCACGACGATAACACGTGTGTGTAACTGTCCGGTTTACAGTGGTGCAGTGGCTGAGAAGAAGCAGTCACGACCGTGAGGTGTCAAACGGGTGATAACGCCGTGACCGTGTCAATTTTTACAGAAAATTTTAAAGAATTCAAAATTTAAAATGTCAATTTGAAAATATCTGACATAGAACCTTTTTATTTTTATGCCGCAAAATTATAAAGACGCGTTAAAATTATTTTGACGAATAACAACGTACAATTAGCTATAATTGACTCAAATATTTAATTTGATAACACGCATGTTTTTCAATAAGAATCTACATTTACTTATAAACGTGGAAAAAATGCAATCCTAAATCATATTTTTATTGATATTTAATAATTCCATTTATTATGTACAATATCACTTTAACAATATTTATTGATCGTTTCATGCTCAAATTCGACCATTAAGATAAACTAAGCAACAATAATCAGGCAATTTATGATTATTGTGTTTGAGGAATTACACATTGATTAGTTTTTACTGTGACATAATGTGCTTCCAAACTCAAAATTGATGTTTTTAAACAACAAAATCTCAAAAATAACACGTCCAATTTTAAAATTTAAAAATATTTTTGTTTTTAAAAAAATTACCTAACCGAAAATTTAAAAAAAGTAATAGTTGCCATTTAAATTTCTTAAATTAGGGTAGATTTCTACCCATTTGCATTAGGGTTGAACTTTAATTTTATACTAAAAGATGCATTTATTTATTCAATTAGCCTCTAAAAAAAAAAAATTATTAAAAAAATCAATAGCATTTCTAAAAATTGTTGTATCCGAATTTATTGAACACTGTATAA